GCAATCACATTTATTTCTTACTATATAAGGATTAAAATACAACAAAAAATATTACTTGGATGACAAGATGAGACAGCTAATCGTTCTTTCACTTTTTGCTTTTTTGATTTGTAAGTTACCAATATAAACTGTCAACATTTTTAATATTTTTAACTTTTAGGCACATTTGTGCAAGGTCGGGTTATTCGAGATGCAAAAAGCGACTTGATCACTCGAGGCAATACCTTGTTGAAGTCAGCTACTGATGCTATCAAGAAGCTTGAAACTCAGAACAAAACCGCTGAAATAGCCATTGTCAAAAAAGATGAAGCTGATATCGAGGTAACATAAGCAAATTATGTAGTGGCACTACCAACTAAAACTTTTTTTTGTAGAAACTGATCAAAGAGCTTCAAGCAGCAACCACAGCTGACAAGATCACTGCAATCGAGCATTCACTAAGAATTGCTGAGTCTCGACTTTTCTATGAGTTGTACAAAATTGAGCACCCACGTCCTTATCTGAAAGAGATTTTGATTATCCGAGCCAAGGCATATCAAAAGCAAGCGGAAGAACTTGAAGCCAAGTTGAAGGCTATCAACCAAAGCGCTGATGCTGAGCTTATTGCCAAGGAACTTGTTGTGATTCAAAAACTAGTCAAAGATTTGACTGAGGCAAAAACTGCTCAGGCCATTGCTCACCATGAAACAGAATTGCAGTCTGCAGAGTTTAAGTTTTCTACATTGCTTCACAATATTTACGTCAAAGATTTTAAAGAAGAGATTCTAAAGGGGTTTCTTCTTCAAAAAGCAAAGTCGCTTGAAAGTTACGTTGAGGATGCAATTACAAAACTGAAGGCTCTTAAGAAAACTGATGAAGTGGCAACGATTGAAAAGGAAAGCAAACTAGTCACTGAGTTAGTAAAGAAGCTAGAAGTCGCAAAGACAAATGAAGAACTAAGTAATGTTGAGAAACAGCTGAATGAAGCTGAGAATGTGCTCTATGCTGAACTAAGAAAAATTTCCAATTGGGTTCATCAAGATAAGCTCAAGGAGTTGCTCCTTACTAGAGCCAAAAAACTGGAAACTGAAGCCAAAGCAGTCATTGATAAGCTGAAAAAGGAGAAAAAAGATTCTGAGGTAAAATCTCAACTGACTTTTTAGATTCTAAAAACTGACTATTTTAAAAATAGGCAAAAATTGTAGAGAAAGAGCTTTTGGAGCTTGAAAAGCTCATGAAGGACTTGACTGATGCAAAAACCGACGAAGCTATCAGTAAGGCTGAAAAGGACTTAAATCACGCTGAAACTGTTCTTACTGCTGAAATTCGAAAGATTAACGGACACCACTTTGCTTAAAATTGGATTTAGTCATTTTGTAATGTACCCATTTGCACAATTTAAAAGTACATTTTGATGTCTTGGAACATTTGTCCTTATCAAGCACTCTGTCTTTACACATATAAACTTTAGTAAAGAAAAGTGATGCAACGAGAAAAATATGCACCATTACCTGGTAGATAAGTAAAATTAGACTAAACACGTTTTGATATTCATCCTCACTATCTAAAGTGGTGCTTTCAGTCGTTGTCTTTAGAAATCATGTGATACCGATGAAGTGTTAATCAGCATACCAGTTGGGACTGGTGCCCATCGTGATTGCACGTGTTTACATGATGTTAAGAGTAGGAGTGTGTCGGCTTTTTAAAGTCATTTAAGATACAGTCAACTGCTGAATGGTTTTGGGCTCATTTTATTTCTAGATTAGTTTAAAAACAGATACTTGGAATAATTTAAAAGTTTTAAGAATCAGATGATCTGTAAATTCAAAACCAAGTTTTTCAAAATGTTTCACAGTTTGAATTGTCTTTATTTGAACATAAATGGCGTTTCACTGTAGCTTACACACCTGGTGCACCTAAGTAGGAGTGATTGCAGGTGAGTGATTGCGGTGCTGCGCTCGTCGATTCCAAGATGGCCAATCTAATCACTGCTCAGTTATATCACATGCGTGAGCGTGCCAGAAAGCACGTTCAGAGGTTCACAACCCTATTTTGTGTTTAGTTGATAGTGGAATACAGGCACAAACTCATTAGACGGCAATTGGGGACATTGGTTTGACAACCCTTAAAGCCAAAGCTGTCAATCGTCTACACGGATCTCGACGCGTCTTTTCTGGCGATTATTATTCAATTGGCATGTCTGGCAGCCTTTGGTGGGAACCTCTNTGGAATACAGGCACAAACTCATTAGACGGCAATTGGGGACATTGGTTTGACAACCCTTAAAGCCAAAGCTGTCAATCGTCTACACGGATCTCGACGCGTCTTTTCTGGCGATTATTATTCAATTGGCATGTCTGGCAGCCTTTGGTGGGAACCTCTATAAATACGCTGTCCAACATGATTAGTCCAACAATTAGTAAACCACATTATTTTGTGTATTTGCGTCATTTCTTTTACTTTGCCACAATGAATCAACGCTATACTTTTGCTGTACTCCTTGCTTTTAATGGTAATTATTTGGACTTTTAACCAAAACTTTTAGTTTAAAATTTTAATGAAATTTCAGTTTGCCTATCCATTGGTGCTCATCTAAAGAAAGCGGAAACTGATGTGGTTCTGAAAGCCACACTTAGCTCATTGGAGAAAAACGGAATTACTCAACAGCGATTTGACTCCCTTATGACCGTTGCTGACCAGAAAGTTCACCAGAAGTTTTTGAGTATAGAGAATACGCTGAAACGTCTCAATATTTCACAGAGACCTCATGAAACTTTCTACCAATCTCTGACATTCACACAAGTGCTCGACCTAGTACTTAAAAACTTGCGTGCTCAGGGACAGTACGCACTGGCCAACCAAATACAAGAGCTGGCTCTTTACGTCATCGGTTTAGAGCGAATCAAGGCGTCGGGCGTTTACGCTGGAACTGAAATGGAGCGAACACTTGACCGAAACATTCAGGAGAACAAAGCAAAGCTGATTGCCATTATCAACGCCCTTATCAGAACGTGATCCCTACTGCAAACTGACAAAGGGAGTTTGTGAACTGAACAAAACTAGCTGAAACAAGTGTTTCGTTGCCTTGTAAAATAAAGAAAAGCGTTAGTTTTGATAAAAACAAGAGTATTTAGGGTTACAAGATTTAATGTGTTGTAAAATAATGTAGATAACTTTTATAGGACTGACTTGCGATCAAATCGCAATACTAAATGTAAACTTTAAAAGTTTTAATAAATGTCAACGTGTGAACATACCCAAGTACATTTTAAAAGGCAAAATCTTGTTCTTTAGTGCACATTAGCTTACTAATCACAAACCGATGTTCTAGCAAACCAACTTTAAATCTAATTTACTTTAATTCACAATTAGTACAGACAGTTCAGTTGTAAAACCAACAAGACTAGTTGCCAACGCTGATGGAGCCATTGCGTGAGATCGGCAGCGCAGAAACTAAAAGTGAAAATGTACAGTTTACCACTGGCATTTTAAATTGCATGATACTTACACAAACCAAGACCTTGGCAAAAAAGCAGCAAATCATGAGAAAACATTTCGGGTGCTTCGCTCAGCACTGAGCCGCAGTGTTGAATGTTGACTCGAGTAGTAAGCTTTGCGTCCATTTGAGCTTGCAGCTCATCAGTTAGGTGCAGAAGATGTGGATAGGAACCGGACACAATCATCGTGTCTACCTTTAGATTTTCTTTCACTTGATTGGTCAAATCATTACGACTGTGTATGACAAAAAAATACTTTAAAAATAGTTTAATTGCTAAATCAATTTACTTACGCCAGATATGTGTCGACGTAAAGACGTAAATTCTTGGGATTCATTCGCTTGTGAAGGCGCTCTAAAAATCGATTGACTGCCTTCTCGTGATCCAAGTCTTTCTTTGAATCAAGATACTGATTGCAAAAGTTAGAACGTTGTTGTACATTAAAAACTACTTTACCGCGTCTTACCATTCCAAATCGATGGTACACCAAATACTGGTCAGCTGCGCTGTTCATGCCCAGTGAGCTCAGTTTCCAGCTCATGATCTTCTCTGAAACGTACTTGGCCATACTTTCAACATTTGCAATACAGTGAATTAAAATGTTTCCAAGAATTCGTTCAGGGTGAGCCATGCTGAATCTCAGTAGAATGTTTGCTCCGGCGCCTTCACCCAGTGTGATGCAGTATTTGACCCTGTTAAAAAGTTTACAACAGTTTAAAATGTCATGATCAGCAAAGCAAAAATACTTGAAATGGTCAAGCACTGCCAAGAGGTCAGCGGCAATCTTGTCCAGAGATGGAAACTCAAAGTTCTGAGGCAAATCGGGGGCATCGTAACCTTGTCCAGGTAGATCGACGTGAATAAAAACTGATCGGCTCTTTAGTCTGGCCATGCTTGGATGCTCAACCAGCTTGTGAAACTCGTGATCTGCCAAAAAAGTAGTCAGTACAAATGAGTAAAAACAAAAGAAAAGACCTACGATTCAATCCAAGGTCAGGTACGGTCAGAAAGACGGCAGTAGTGGGCAAAATGTTGTTGGCATTGCCTTGCACAAACACATTAAGGAGGCCACAGTTATCGGTTTTGACCTCGTGTTGCTGCAATAAAATTATTTAAAAACTAAAATCAAATAAATAAATGGGCCAACCGTTTCCACGACATCTTCGAAATCATCCGGATCGCTTCTCATAGAGTTCCTGTCTTCACTTTGTTTACGAGAGTTAGCCATCTTGTTAAAAGGGTTAGTAGAAAACAAGATAAAGTGATGAAAATCAAATGAAAATTACATATTTGTTTGATCATCAACTTACATTGTTTTTTCTAGCAGCAAAAAAGTGTTTGTAATCGAACAATAAATAAAATATGATTGCAGTTGGCTTGGTTGAGACCAGATTTTACTGCCGAGTTGTTATTGATTGTGATGGAAAAAGTGACTTTGCATATTTGTCGAAAAACCCAGTACTAACTGAAAAACAATGCTGATGTGTCACGATTCAAACAATGAAAAATTAAATTCTAAGAGAAGATGAACTGCTCAAAATTTACTTTGTTTCAACTTTACTAATCACCAAACTTTATTTTTATTGTTTGCTTGTTCTTTTTGTAAAAGTTTAAAATAAAAGTTATAAAGTACTTTTTCACTGAGAAAGACTGAAAAAGTACAAACTAAAAACAAAAACACATGAGACTATACTTTATAAAAGTAGACCATTAGCAGTAATTCATTGGACAGCTGTGCTAAAAGTTTGAAACTTGCACTTTATTATTTGCTCCACAGCTGACCTTAGCAAGTCCTCTCGATTATTACTATCCAGACTTTTTCTACTTTGGCATTGAAGTGAACAGGCCAATGGTAGGGCACACCGTGACAAGCACTTTAGAAAGGCAAGTGCTACTCGATGATTTATTATCAGGTTTATTTCGGTCACACAAAAATCAATTCGCATAACATGTATTATTAAAAGTGTGCAAATATTAATAATAAAAAGTTTATTTTACAGTGAGTACACTTTGAAACTGCAAAAACTGTTTTCATGTGTCAAAAGTTGTCACATGTAGATTCAAGTGCATCAATGTAGCGGCTGATGAAAGTCTAATTATCACTTTTGATAAAACTTTCGAGAGTGAGAGCTATGATTTGAGGTGAGTAGTGATGATATCAAAACGGCTGAACGAAATTTCCCCTCTGCAAAAACTGTTGTAGTGTGTCCACTGGATTGAGGTTTTGTAATTGACAAAATAATGCTTCCGAGTTGAGCAAAAAGCAAAAAACCAAAACTTCTCTCTTCTGATGAGGGCGATTGCATTGGGTGACCCATTGGCCAGTGATGAGCAGCAGCAGACCACTTCCTGGTCTCCTTTTTAAGCACTGTACCGGTGGTGGTAGCGCCCGCAACTAAACATTTAAATTGCCTGCTGTTTCTGCGAATCGCTGAAATTAGTCGACTATTTTTTTGGAGGGATACTGATATATACTTTCGACCGACACTCTGCACCACTGCAACATGATCGGTTCTCTGGTCATTTTGTTGTTTTTTACCTTTCTCTCGATCTTGCCGGCGCAGCTAACCAGCAGTGAACCAGCAGCACTCAACCGAGACGACCTTATTCTGTACACGGAAGCACTGAAATCGCCCATCACCCGACTGGCAGTGAACTGCTTTGAGAATGTTCCCAAAAGCACGAGAAATCGCTGTCGCTCTCTGGCGGTAGACCGCTTCAAGAACACCCTGTACTTGGATAAGCGTCACTGCTGCTCTCGCTGGATTGAGATGGCCTGTCTCAAGCCGTACCTCTTCAATGCAATCTACTGCAATCAGCTAGAGTCGAATGCCATTTACAAGTTCTTTGAAGGCGTCCTGCGCCAGTCGCTCTCAGAAAGCGGCGACTGCGTCAAGTATCCACCGGCAAAGGGCAGAAAAGCGGCCCAGCTTCTCCTGGACTCTCACCAATGTGTTCCAAAAGGAAATTTGTGAGCAACATTATTGATTTTTTAACCTTAATAAAAGTGGAAGTCGGGTCGAAATATAACGCGTAAAAGAGTACCACAATGAATAACACAGTTGCTTTTGGCAAAAAGGGCAATCAGTTTGTCTTTTTCGTCTTCTGCTTCCTCTTCTTCTTGTCGTCGCCAAAATGAGGCTGAATGCCATGACCGAGAAGCATAATCACCACGGTGACGCCGGTGATCACCTCGAGGAGGAAGAACACTGCCGCCCAGCTGTACTGCTTCGCCAGCAGACTGAAGGGAAGGCCAGAAATGATGGCGCCCACTGTTGAGTTGAAAGCAAATGTTAGACAAACTGATAAACGTCTTTTTCCNCAAAATGAGGCTGAATGCCATGACCGAGAAGCATAATCACCACGGTGACGGCTGTGGTCACCTCAAGGAGGAAGAACACTGCCGCCCAGCTGTACTGCTTCGCCAGCAGACTGA